AAACATTACCCGTAGTAGCACTGCAACCCATGTTATTAGTTGACAAATGTGTGTCTTTCACTTAACTTCGTGATTTTAATGAAGTTATGGAGAGCTAAATATTCCTGTTACATTTTCATGACTAGTATAGGCTGCAAGTGAAAGTTACACAATTTTTTAACATGCCGTCTTCCTTCATAACAATCACTGAAAGGAAAATTTACAATAAATGTTTGATGACTTTTCAACTACGCTATTATCACATTTACCAAAAGTAAAGGACTTACCTAAGTAAACAACTACATATACACATACCATAAACACAGCATCATTGGATAGGATTTTCGACTGCATTACTTTTGCAATGCATAGCATTGCAGATGCAATGCACTCGGTGTTAGCTACAAGCTGTAAAAAAACTGTCCCTCATTTGTGTTTGAACACGAAGCATCTCTCGAAGAAGATCTTCATCTTTTCGGGCAGAAGAGGTTCGTGGCCTCCTGCCACTTCTGATCGTACTTGGCATTGGAGATGAACCCAGTTCATCAGTGTAATCACCAGTTACAGTTGACCTAACAGCTGTGGCAGAAGGGGTACTAGACCTACTTCGCTGTTCCGTGGTAGCAGCAATAGGTTGACGAGTATTGCTTGAACTACATGTTTCTACCTCATATGTTCCGGATGATGAAAATCCAGGAATGTTTGTAGGTGCTGAAGTTTCAGGTTCTAAATGCACAATGGGTACTGTGATATCATGTTCCTGTATATCCTCATTCAGAATGAGGGTTATAGAATCATCTTTCTCTTGAACGAGCCGAAACATAAATTCCTCTCGGAAACAACTAGCTGTAAACCTAGCTCCTGAGGGTCCGGGGGTTGGTTCTCTTTCTTCTTCTGGAAAGAAATGTAGTATAATAGGTTGATTGAAGTCTATGTTAAGAGTATAATTAAAATATTACACTGTATTTCCAAATATACAAAAGCTTTTAGGAAAAATAATGGTTTGAAAAATAGTGTTGACCATCTAAATATATTTGTTTAAAATATTTTTAAATCTAAATATCAACTAGGCGTTAAATTTCTTATATTTGCACTTCTCAATTTTGTCCATTAACATACGAGTTATAACAACATTTAATATATAAATTAGGGAAGCAATAAACAAGCTAGAAATGAAACCAACTTACTAGTGTTGTTATTTTTCAAAATTATATAAAAAATCAGTATACTGTACAGTATTTCCAAATCAAGATGTGAAAAAATGTCTCCAAAAGTTTTTTTTAAATAAAAACAAGGACAGAAAAGAACAAAATATATCAGGGGGTTGGAAAAATATTTTGACTGAATTACCAGTAATAGGTTCTTCACTTTCAACATCCCCTGGAATCCCATGTATAGAGGCTGGATCTAATAGTTGAAGAATTGCTTCTTCAATTGCAGTGTATGTAATTTCAATTTGGGGGCCGCCACCTTGAAGAGAAAAAAATAAATAATAACTGTCTTACTGTGAGCTGTGGTTACATATACTATACGCTACTGTGTTATAGTTGGCAGAAATCATAGTTACAAAGGAATCTACTGAAATAGTTCCAAACATTATAACCTAACCTATCATTGTAACTGTAGCCACAAATATCTCCTTTATCTATGTCAAAAGTTTATTTGATTTACGGTAACAAACAATAAATGGTAAAATAAGTAAAAAATAATAGCCGCAGCCAGAATTTTTCAACCTGTATTAGTTGTAAACTCATATGATAGAACATCCTTGCCTATAAGCCTAACAAAGTAAAACACCCTGCCACACAAACTCATATTAACTATCTCTGTTCCACGTCAGTTGCGACACAATGACAAGTGTGTCTTAAAATTGTGTAAACTTTATGATAGGTATAATAAGAAATCCAAAAGTTGTGGGGAAATTATTAACAGTAGTACAGACTTCCCTGACTACCGGGTGGGAAGATATTGGAAGCATAATGTGTTGTCTAATGGTAGACCCTGCTGCCATATGGCATCACGAAAATTAAGAGCAAGTCCAAGGTTGCTGATCAAAATGTGCCATTTACACACAATTGCAGGGTCGCAATTGTTTCTCGTAATATCGACAACACAACATACATACTGTATATTGATTCTCACTTTTTGTGTTTTCATTTCGGTATTTATGGTTATTTATTATTAATAATATTATTAATAGAGTTATTTTTATTAATAGTACTAAAGAATTATTATTACAGGCCCCGACGTGGGTCAGTGACTGTGCCTGGGTTGGTTAATCCACGTAAAAAAAAAAAAAAAAATTTAGGTTGAACGGTAAAGTTTTTACTATTTACTCACACGGCAAACTTCGAAGAACGATGTTTCTTTTAATGAATGTGCTCATATAAGGAAAATATGTGTATTCATTCACGATGGAGAGCCACCACACTACTTACTTCCTTGAGTTTACAAACACGTAAAATCGTACCAAGCCTCAGAAAAACCATAGTTAAGTTTGTTTCATATTGTCAATCAATAACCACGCTAACAATATTATGACTTACCTGTTCCACCAGCATATTTCTTATCTTGTGCTGCTTTTTTTCTTAACGCTAACACGAAGATCAGAAAACTTCCGCCGAATTTCAGTAACATTGCGGGTGACTCTACCAACAGCATTCACCGCATTTAACACTTCACCCCAGGCATGGTTTTTGAGTTGAAGTGTACATCTAGTTGAGTCCAACTTCCCTAAAATCATTTCTTTTCGTTTGGCTACCTCAGTCACAAGAGCGTATACTTCAGCCTCACTGAAATTAGGCCGTCTCTTCTTGGCTGGTGGTCCTTCCATGTTTACAAAATAATATTAAGTGCGTCGCTCTCAGCTGATTTCTCCTTCTCTTGTGATTGGTTGATGATTTTGTTAACTGAGCGTTGATTGGCCAACTAGCATCTGCACTGACATCTACCGTCCGACAAGAGAACTTAATTTACAGGGTAAACACTAGAGTTACGAGAACTTACGGAAGGCTTACGGAACCATAATTAAATTTTGAGTTTGCTAAATTTATGGTAGTGTAAGGCTTCCACAATATATGGTACTGTATCATGCTGAAAAACGTAACTTATGAGGTGTTTTGAGTATCCGGCCCCCAGGGCTGGATACTCAAAAACATTTATGGGACTGTATGTCGTTGTGTAGCCCGTAACTGGACTTACAGTCTCAGATTGGCATACTCAAAACACAGATGGTATACTCAAAACAAATATTTGACAACGAACTCCGTAAGTTAAAACAGTAACTTACACCAGCCCCTGAGGTTGTGTAACACTCAACCCGGATGTAGTAGTGACTAATTCCCGATTGTATAAAAAATAATAATAATATATGTTTTAATAATGCTTGTTAGACTTGTTTTATCATAGAATAACGAAGAAAATGTTTTGTACATAAACATACTGAAATATAATATTTCACTTTCTCTTTTTTGTTGCCATAATAAGCGGCTTGAGTGTTTGTGTTTGTCTCAGTTTGGAAGAGACGCATCTTTTGTCTTCTTACACATTATAAAGTATTTCTTACCAAAACAGGTTTGTATTGCTCACACTTAGGGTAAAAATATGTTTTATGACTGAGTAAACTTGCAGATAGAACTTATTAATGTTGTATAGCCGTAAATATCCCTCAGTAATGAAAGCCAAATATGAGGTCAAGTGAACATTCCTGCCAAGACTTCGCCTTGTTTTTCTAATATTCAACCAATAGCCTTAGCCTATTTTCTTCTGTATATGGCTTATGATACCATGAAAGGCTCTAAATTTCCATAGGCTAGCCAAAATTACATGATATTAGGCATAAAATATGGATTGCAATTAACTTGATTAATAGGAGCCTATATAACTGCTTTTTCAGTCTTAGACAAATAAATGTTTAAACGTGGGGCCTACTTAGTTTAGTTAGAACATGAGGATTATTTAAATATAAAATTATACCAATAGGTTATAGGTTAGATAGGTTTGGTTTGGTTATGTTATGGTATGTTAGCTTAGAGAATGTGTACATGGTTTTTTGGTGAGTGTCAGGCTGTCAGTGAGACACTTAGTCTAGCAGCTACCTTAGGCCTAGTTCCAGACTTCCTTGAACTTTATCATAGGTAGAGTATGAATTTAAGAAAATTTACGGCTAATCCGATATATTTTCAGGTTTTAAATTGTTGTTTTTTGTATGAATTTGAAGACAATTCAGACCAAATGTCCCCAACATTGAAAGGAAAACACCAGGGTCTAGGCTAACTGAGTAATTTAAGTGAAGTGATTTTGTCATTTAGGTTAGGCAAGGCTATACTATCATTAACCAATTAATTTGAAATTGCCCAGAATAATGCTATCTTAGTATAACTTATGTGTCTTGTCACAGGCCAACCTTAGACCCGTGGTTATTTACCCAAATTCTATTATGGGTAAAACACCAAATACTGTGTGATTGTAGGGTTATGTGATGTTGTCTCACACTCAGGATGGGTTGGAGAAAGGAAACTCTTAATGGTGGTTTTCTTATATAAAATATATTATATACAAAACAGTCTGGTGCTGGGAAGTTGCTGCATGGTAGAGTAACCACTACAAGATCTCAGTTAGCCGGAACAATTGGTGAAGAGCACTTCCGTGAATGAGAATTTTCCCGTTAACGAGACGATTATCTCAAATCAAGAAAATATCCCTCGTCCCCTGAATGTTTATGGTATTGGAAGAATGTTCTCGGTAGTTCCTGAAATTGCCCATTACATCATCTCTCGAACCCAGAAATATATCCCCCATCTCCGGAATTTTCTCGGTTATCTGGGAAGCTTTTCTCATAATTTTCAGGAAAATGTGCCCCTTTGAAAATCATTACTTAAGCCATAAGTTTCCTGCAAATTTATGCTTTGGGAATTAATTACGGCTTTCAGAAAGTTCCGGGTTTCAGGGATTCTGGCTAACGGAGATATTTACTACCTAATAAAGGAAATAAAGAAGGCATCTGATAGAAACAATGTATGTATTCTAGGCGATTTCAACTTTTCAGGCTTAGATTGGAAAAATCAACTTAGCGATAATGAATCTGAAGATTTTCTAGAAGTAGTACAAGATAGTTTTTTATATCAATTCATAAACTCGCCCACTAGAGGAAATAATATCCTCGATTTAGTTCTCAGTAATAATGAAAATCTAGTAAAAGATGTTGGGATTGGAGACGAACTAGGAAACAGTGATCATAAAGCCATATATTTTAACATAATATGGGATGGCAGGAAGAAGGAAAATCGCCCTTGATCCCGGATTTTAGGAAGGCCAATTACGGTAGCTTAAGAGATCTGGATGACCTATGGTCAAAAGATTAATCCCCCACACCTCCCGAAACTGTCAACTTAGGACGGAGAACCGAATTTAATTTATGAGCTACTTATGAACAATTTATTGCGACAATCAATAATGCTCAAAAGAAACACATCCCTAAAAGAAAATTCAGATCGATACGGAACCAACCAAAATGGATGAATAATAGACTCTTAGATCTTCTAGGGAAAAAGAAAGGAGTATATAGAAAAGTTAAGAAAGGCGAAAATCACTTACTTGGTTACTATCAGAACCTAACAAGACAGGTAAAACAGAAATTAGGAAAGCAAAGAGAAATTATGAAATCAAGGAAGCAAACGAATCGAAAAATAACCCCAAAGCTTTTTATCAACTGTATAAATCAAAGGTTAGAGATACAATAGGTCCCCTTAAGACTACGACAGGAGAAATGACTGATGATGAGTTAGAAATGTGTAGTACGTTAAATAGTCATTTTCGCTCCGTATTCACAAATGAAAACCTAGCACAGTTTCCAGAAGTTCATAAGGTATATAACGACAGTATAGAAAATATGTTGATAAATATCAATATTACTAGTAACGATGTGCTTAAAGTAATTAACAAACTGAAGCCTCATAAATTGCCTGGTCCAGACGAGGTATATGCTAGAATATTAAAAGAATGTAGAGATGAGTTGAGTAATCCATTAGCAGTTTTATTTAATAAGTCATTAGAATCGGGCCTAGTGCCAGAAGCTTGGAAACTTGCAAATGTAGTTCCGATTTTCAAAAAAGGTGATAAATCAATTGCATCAAATTACCGTCCCATTAGTCTCACGTCAATCATAGGCAAGTTGCTAGAGTCAATTATTGCTACGAAAATCAGAAGCCACCTTGAAACATTCAACTTAATTCATTCTTCTCAGCACGGGTTCACCCAGGGACGTTCTTGTCTCACAAATTTACTTAGCTTTTTCTCAGAAGTATATGAAGCGGTAGATAATGATAAGTCATATGATATAATTTACTTAGATTTCAGTAAAGCATTCGATAGAGTCCCTCATGAGAGATTGATAAGGAAGGTAGAAGCACATGGAATAGGTGGATCATTATTAAAATGGATTAGGTCATGGTTAACTGGTAGGAAACAAAGAGTCAGCATAAATGGATTTAAGTCAGACTGGGGTGCGGTCAAAAGCGGAGTTCCCCAGGGATCTGTATTAGGCCCTCTGCTGTTTGTTATATTCATTAATGATCTTGATTTAGGTATAACTAGTAGGATTAGTAAATTTGCAGATGATACCAAAATGGGGAGAGTGATAAATTCAGACAGTGACTTTGAACACCTTCAAAGAGATCTAGATACCTTACATGAGTGGTCAGTAGACTGGCAAATGAATTTTAATGCTGATAAATGCAAGGTACTACAAATAGGGAAGACGAATACAAACGTTAAGTATAAACTAGGTAACACGGAAATAGAAAACTCAGATTGTGAAAAAGATCTAGGTGTATTTGTTGGCAACGACTTGAAACCTAGAAAACAATGTATTAGCGTTCGCAACAAGGCAAACAGGATTCTTGGGTTCATATCTAGGAGTGTGAGTAACAGAACTGCTGACGTTATCTTGAAACTTTACCTAGCATTAGTGAGGCCACACATGGATTATGCGGTTCAATTCTGGTGTCCTTATTATAGAATGGACATAGATTCTTTGGAGAGAGTACAAAGAAGAATGACAAAATGATCCATAATATTAGAAACCTTCCATATGAAGAAAGACTGAAAAGCTTAGGCTTGCATTCATTAGAGAGGCGTAGAGTTAGGGGAGATATGATTGAGGTGTTCAAGTGGGTAAGTGGGATTAACAAGGGTAAAATGGAAGATGTTCTGAAGCTCAGTAATAACGAAATAACTAGAACAAATGGCTTTAAATTAGATAAATTCCGATTCGGAAAGGATATAGGCAAGCACTGGTTTGGTAATAGAGTTGTGGATATGTGGAATAGGCTACCGAGTGCTATAGTAGGATCGGGGACGCTAGGGAGCTTCAAGACGAAGTTGGATAGGCACATGGAAGTGCTGGGATGGGTGTGAAAGGGATCTGCCCTGTATGGGCCAGTCGGCCTCCTGCAGTTTCCCACTTTCTTATGTTCTTATGTAATAAAATGAACACAGGTCAAAAGACTCTCCGGCTCCTGAGAATGCTGCTGTTCCTACCAGAAAGCAGTTTCAAATGCGAGTATGTGACAGACAAGAGGCAAGAGGATATCTTTTAAATGCTTTTAACACTCTTATTTACTTTCATACTGAAAAATTTTATTCATTTTTAAATGAGTACAGAAATTTTAACACGCTTTGCATTTTCAAGTATTTTAACCCTAATGCCAGGCAAAACCTTAAGGCCGTAATTTTTTTTTCTCAGGCATAACCCTTCTTTTCTAGGCCTAATGATAAAACGTTGAATAAGTTAGTATCAACATAAAAACACTACCGTTTAATAATTTTTTTTTTTGCAGTATAGAGGTAATGCTAATAAAGCATACATTG